TCTCGCTTACTCGGTCTTTCTCTCTCGCGTTCGTGTGTCAGCAAATTCGCTGGTGGTCTCGTTTCATCGTATGGGGACTTTGAGCTTGTGCGACGCGTGAAATTATGACGGTAAAAAGAGTGGCACGAGCGGAGGTTGTGGGGCAGGGACGTGCGCGGGGAACAATCAAACATTCTTCGAATTAGCAACGCGAAGTGCGAGAGCGGTCGACTTGACTCCCACGTGCTCTTTCGCTTCCCTCGCGCGGAGCGGTAATTACACTATATTACCCTTTGACGTGCGCTATAATGGATAACGCTAAGCAAAAATGTCGAGAATACCGGCGTAAGCGAAGAAATGTACGGTGGTACACTGGGAAAGTGCCGAACGCGGAATAGAAAATGTTCCGTCAGTTTACTAACTTGGCTGCGGGTTGAGTTGAAAGTTGATCGAAAATGGAATTCGCTTTAAATTAAGCGACAATGAGATTTCAGCATTATTCGTTCTACGTTTTTTTTTTTTTTTTTTTCGTTAAATACATATACTTAAAATTTTATAACGCTATGATCCTCGTTTCACAGATGCCACGATTGTTAATTTCTACTCCGCTAACTAAAGAAAAATAATGATGCGAGTACTTACGGGAGCGGCGGGATGTCTCGCCGGCGCGGGGTACATCTTAGTCTTGGACAATTGCTTCTTAGAAATCGCTGCAGCGTCCACGATACACTAAGTACACGATCATTTCACCATTTCGTGGGCTCGAACGCATCCGCGTGAAGAAACTCCATTTGACGACGGTTGCTGTTCCTAGATCGATCTTCTCTCCATCCACTGTTCACAGCACAACGCGATTCATCGCGGTTACCTTATTATCGCGAACCGAGTACACTTTTCTCATTCATTAACGAGCGCGGAAATGGCAACGTAAACTTTGTACGAATCTCGTTTAAGTTCGACGAACGACACTTTTCTTCGTAATTTTTCGCCCGCTGTTAAAGCTTCACACGTTGTGGAGTGCCTCCGTTCCTGTTGAAAAAAAAACAATTGTTTTTTATTCCTGTTGCTTCTATATGAACGTTGTCTGTACAGTTTAATAGTTCCTTATCGCGTTTCTCCTGTTCGAGAAACGTTTGTTCGAGTAGAAAAATATTTGCTCGTCGGTGCTATTCAAATTTTCCCTCTCTCGAGAGAGGAGCAGCACTAAAAGTACTCGCTAGGTATGTTCGAATTACTTGCAATTTTTGCACTCAGCATCTTTGCTTTCTTTCTTCAACGCCCAAATGGAACAGTTTGATAAGTCAGTGACTTTTTACAAGAAGAGTATTCAAAAATAAATCGAATTTTGGTTAGAAAAAAGAATTTTGGTTAAAAAAGTTGCTGACTTATCAAATCGTTTATCTTGTTTCAAGTGTACAAATTTTTTTAATTTCAACAAGGGCGTAGCCAGGGTACTTATAGAGGGGGATTAAATTAGATTTGAGAATTTTAAACGTGTGAGGGGAATAATCAAATGGGATAGACTGTTTGAATCGTTTTATTTTATATTATTTTAAATTAATTACAAATTCTATCACAAAATCACACATATTTAATTTATTAATTTACTTTATTTTTCTCTTAAAATTGTAAATTGATTCTTCGAACTGGAAAACTTTAAATTTATAACACTAGTCGTCTTAGATTCTCAGAAAATCTTTCTATAATCTTCACCTCAAATTCCTTCTTTTCCAAAATTAATTTCTTGTGAATACTTATTAAGAATAGTCGTAAATGTATAATTTCTTTGTAATTATTTAAGTTCTTCTTCTTTAAATAAATGGCACCTGTCCCCAAAAGAGAAAAAAGGAAGACAATACAACCAGAATAAGTAAAATGATACGCCGACGAGTGAAAGAGAATGCGAAATCAAAATGATGAAAACTATCAGTAAAAGTAGAAATAGAACTCGTATATCATAACAATTCGTGAGTCATGAACTGAATAGATAAAAGATATCTTCAAGATTCGAGGGGGAAGGGGGGGGGGGCATGGCTCCCCTACCCTCTCGGCTACGCCCATGGATGGTTCGCATTTCAAGCCGGTATAAAAAGGAAGGTGTAACATTCCCGCGCAGTAAAAGAGTAAATTCGAGGCCATTTGATTGATTGTTTCCAGTATTGTCATTGCCATTATATCCAACGTTACACCTTTCTTTGTATCATGTTTCAAGCAACTTGAACGAATCTACACTATTAACCGTGCGGATATCTCGCAGAGACTCGCAGAAACCGATGCATTTTCATTTCGTCGGCGTGGCGCGCGTGTGAGAGGGGCTTTACGATGGCAAGCGATCAATTTATCGTTCGATTTACTAGGCGCGTAAACCGCTCGCTCCGTCGCTGCTCCAGAAGCATTTATCCTAATCTCCGAGGCGTGTTTCGAACCGGGGACAAAGAGCGAGAGAGGAAAAAAAACAGCCAGAGATGCTGCGCGGCGCAGGGTGGCGCGAGAGGGACGGAAAGAACGAAAAGAAAGCGCGCTCGCGCGTTATATGTATATCGGGTGCAAAGCCACCGGCTGAACGCAACGTCACGTTCCAGGATCTACGACGCATTGATTACGATGCAATTTTCAATGGACCGTAGCGGCGGCGACGGCGGCCGCCGCACGGTGCATTACGCGCGACGCATTATTGCGAACGTCGCGACATGTCAAACGTGACGCGTTTCGTCGGGCATATCCCGGTGAGAAACGTCCGCGGAAAAACGAAACGAGACGGCCGTGCACGAATTTTTCTTACAACAGTCGGTAAATAACGAATTAGAGAGAGAGCGACGATGGAAATCTAAATTGCTGCTCGCTTATTCCTTCGCGCTCATCGTGGGATTTTATTGTCGCGAGATCTGTCGTTTCGAAATTACAATAACGCGAAGAACTCGTTGTCGAGCAATTAACGCGGAATCGAAAATTGAGGGCTTTTGCAAAAGAGAAAGCAAACGGCTCTCTACATTTGGAGAAAATTTTCTAAATTTCTAAATTCGTTTTTCGCGAAGCGTGACAGTCGATTGCTTTACCCTTGGAATGTTATCGATACGTAAGTTTTATATACAAATTAGCGAAGTCATTAAGCGCTAAGCTATGCCTTTAGTGGTTATAAGCAGGAAACCAATCTACCATGCTAAAAGCTAGGACAAGCGGAGACAAGTTTTTTAAAATTCTGACAGTTTTTTATGTATCACTCTGGATCCTCTGCTGATCAGTATTAGAACAGAGAGCGTGATAAGCGCAGATTTCAATTTTTAAGCAGTTTTTTGTGTATTGTCAAAGTTATTATTTTGTATTATTATGTATTTTATTTAACGAGGAAATAATTGGACTACTTCATATCATTTCAAGATTAAATTCGATAGGGTACTCATGTTTTCTTTCCTGCCGAGTTAATAAGTTAATAAATGGGTTATTTGTGTTTATAAAAGTCTAAATTATATATATATAAATTTTATTAAAAATGTGAAATATATGAGAAACTTGTGTTATATTAATAAATATTAATAAAGAGTGATCTTATACACTTTCTTATACGTAAGCACTTTAGGATTAATGCTTTATCAATATGAATCGATCGATTTTTTTCAACAAATCGATAAATGATTGTCCTCACTACATTCCTATGTCCGTTTGCGTTTATCATACGAAAAAATCTGTTCTTTGTGACTAAACTAGTGTAATTAAATCTACTGTGAGATTCATAATTAATGTCAAATTATACCAAATTTTAATTACTTTTAATAATTTCTATAGGTCGCCACTCGCCATTACTTATAGCCAATATATAATGTTATTAATTTGACTAAAACAATAAAATTAAACAATTTTACTCAAGAAAATATGTTAAATTTAATTCAAATTTAGTTTATTATGTACTAATAATGAATTCGATTGGATGCACTCGATGCGCACTGGTGCATATTAAAGCCATCGTACATAAATTGCTTTAAAGATGTGTGTTTAATAGAAATATATTGTAGAAACAGGTCAAACCGTGAAATACTTAAAACATTTTATTGTACTGTTAAGTAAAATGTATTTTATAATTCGAAATATTTGCATTTCACTTTTATTGTTAGTTTAAATCAGTATACAACGGTTTTAATATGCACCAGTGCGCAATAGTGCAACAGAATTCGTTATAAGTGCATACGTTAATATGGACGATGTTTACTTTGAAACTAACCACAGAAATGGAACGACATTTTGATATATATAGAGGTTGAAAATAACAAAATGTTATTTAACTCAAAGGATTGGATTACTTACTATTGTTTATTGATATCTATAAATATATAGAGTAAGATGATACAATTTCGATTATATAATTCTGAAGGCAGTATTCGAATCCACTTTTCGAGGGTCAAGTTTAGTTTTTTCCCGTTTGCATGTGTTTGATGGTGTGTGTACTCTTTAGTACCCTCCCGACAATGAGATTAGGGTTACGAAACTCGAATCTCGAAATTGGATTTAGATCTTATTCGGAATTGTATCATGTTCAAAACTGTACCGTCCTAGTTTGAAGCTTGGCGAAAGAGCGGGATACACACTAAAAAAAAGTTTCTTTAACGAAATAAAATAGGCATGTTCTTTTTAACGAAAGAACAGGCCTAATGCCAATTAAGTATTTGGTTAATATAACCAAAAATATTAAGAAAAATAAAATTATTGTTGATATATTAACCAACATTTGACCGTCGTTATTTCAACAAATATTTGATAGCTATTACCAAACTCTTTGGTGTAGAAAATTTTAGTGCAATCCAGCGTAGCGACAAAGAACAGGCCTATTTAAATAAGTCAATATAAATCGATCGATGCATGTATTTCGACGGTGTTTCGTTACACGTCGTAGAACAGGCAGGGTTGGGGGGCGAGAGAGAGAGAGAGAGAGAGGGAGAAGGAGAGGGAGAGGCGAGGGAGCGGTAGGAAGCGTTAAACCGGGCGTGCAAATACTCGTCCGATGGATGCACCGGTCGTCGTGCACCCCAGCGACGGTACGTTGGGTTAGTTTAGGCCATAGCTTAATTTCCAAGTAGAGAATTGGCCATTCAACAACGAGGAGGGCGGGCAGGCAGGCAGGCTGGATGGATAATTCGCGGTATGTCTCCCTCTGACCCGCGCGAGCGAGCGCGTATACGCGCTATACGCACTCTCTCCTCTCTCGCAGATTGCTGTACGCGATTTCAGCGCTGTTTATTTCAGCCGCATCGCGCCGCAGGGCGGGTCGCGCGCGCGGATTACGGGAAACATTTTTGCGATTTGTACGCTTCACCAAAGAGGGTCCGCGAACCATCCAGCGGCCGAAAACCAACGTACGCGTGGCCGGGCGGACAACGTTGCCTATTATTTTCACGCTTTTACCGCGCCGCACGATCGCATATACATGACGCGTCATTACGGGCTCTTTGTAACGCGGGATGATGTTTCGTGTAACGCGCAAAATGGAGTCATATAACCGCGTTAACAGTCCATTCTACGCGGATAATGTATTTCGCGAGCAATACACGTATATATATACGTGTACGTGTACGTGCGATAAATATATTTATGTACGCGCGTGTATAATGCGTGCGCAAGCGTGAAAAACTCACCCAGGCTCCGAATTTGAGCCATCATTTCCATCAATTTGCAGCAAATGCGTTCGGCGGGACGATAAAAACTTTTCGGCTTGATACTCCCGGCGTATGACGTCGCGACGCGTCGCGTCCCGTCGGCAAACGCCGCCGACGCCGCCGACGCCGCCGCCGCCGCCGCCGCCGCGCGAAATTAAATCCGCCCTTTCCACCCTCCTGCATTTACGCAAACGCTGAGAAAAGTTTCGCCACGTTCCATTGTATCGCGGAGCAATAGAGATGCGGCGTGAGACCGACAACGACGATCGTGAATCTAAACCGCGATAATTTGGGTAAAATGAGTTTAAATTTCAACAGGATAAATCGGAATACGTAATCGAATTGTGATTTCAATAATTATGTATTATGTAACTGACGCGTAATTATTCCTGCAGAGAAGTTTAAAAGCCTAGAGATTGCGCTTTTATTATATTGGCCAAAAGCTCTTCTCGGTTTTTATTTATGCAAGTGATTATTTTCAACGCTCAATTTAGATATCCCAAGCTCTTCTGCGATATCTCTGGTTTGTTGCGGATTATTATCGATCGAGGCCTTGATTTGATCATCATCCACTGTACTTGGCCTAGAACTTATCTTCGACCAAGAAATTCTCATCATGGAATTTTGCAAACTAAAATTGGCGATCATTCATATTATCTTCACTGTACAGCGTGCACGTATCTTTTTTACATAGCGTTTTTGCTTTTATAATAGTAATGTAGCATAACATGTTGAAAATGTGTCTTTTGATCTTCGAGTTGATCTTTTATCCTTTGTAACAAGCGGTAATTAAACTCCATTAATTTTTATACTTGTTTGTTAAAGGCTCATTGATATGTAAGCCGTTAAGTTATGAATGCATTTGATAAAACAAAGAAAAGTATCCACACCTAAAGCCACGTTAATAATCATCTACTGGGAAAAACAAAAACATTTTTTGCCCAATGAAAACTCTCGAAAAGCTTGCCGTGTTAATTTCAAAGAAAAAAAGGAGCCAGCGTGGATCGCGATGGACGAACGGGTCATGGAGAAAGTTATCGCGAATCTCACGTAATCGGCCCTCGGCCGATCTTTAACCACCGCGTGATCGTCCGTGATTTCTTTACCTTCTCGATCGTTATCGCGACATGGCCGAGCGGCGGCGCACAATGCCGCGCGGATTAAAGGATTCTCCACACCGGACACGCTAGTACCGCGCTTTAATTATTGAGTACCACGAGTGATACCGCGCACCCCGTTTACGACTCCCACAATTTCGTTACGAGCTGTAAGCCAAATAGTCGAGTGCGAGATAGGCGATCCGCGACAAAGATACAAATTCTATTTCTCTACAGAGCCTAGAGAAATCTTAGGAATTCGGTCTATGTCGTAAGTAAAAATTGAAATACGATTATAAAGATAATAGAGAGAATCGATAAAACTTTCTCTTACTTGAATAGAATCAAAAAAAAAAAATGTCGAAAAAATAATATAAAATTAACCTCCAACTACAGCTATGAAAACCTAATATTTTTTAAAACGTCTTGTTTGAAGTAACGCAAATAAATCTTATAGCGAATAAAGTTCAAAGATTTTATATTTACCTACAATTTAGAACCTCATAGTAATCATATAGATCGTACAATCATCCAAAAATGTTCGCACCTGGTCCAAATAATTTATTGCTGTAGTTAAAATAATACCAATATAAAAAAAATTCATGACACGTGAAATGATTTATTTTCTTGTATTATTTCAATTGCATTATTTCGATTAAAGTAAAAAAAATATATAAATCATATATAACAAATGACAACTGGGATTCAATGATCGCTTCTATTATACATTACATCGGGTAGTAGATTTTTTTTTTTTAATATATTGGCGATTGGTCGTTTGCGACCGGCATGAAAGTAAAAACACTATTGTGCTAGCGGCGATAAAAGCGAACAACTCCGAGCAACGTTACGACGGTGTCCTAATATTCCGCATACTTACGATACGACCGATCGTGCCTTTATTAGCGGCGTGACGACGATGCGGACTTCGTAAAATGCACGCGTCGTAAAGAGCCTTATCTCGCGAAGCATGATAATTATACGGCGAGAGCAACAACTTAAGTGGCCCGCGGCAGTAGTTAAGAACGTGCGCGTGTAAAAATTTTGTTTGAACAACGGATTATTAAGTAAGAAATTCCGCCTACTCCGTGGATCGATATAGGCATAAAATTCTGTTTAAACACACGGAAAGAACGATTTTGCTGAAGTATCAGAAAAATTTAGCTAGACGCAGGTCTGAAAATAATTTTGTTGGACCATCAAAATAATTACGTGGGTAATTCAAACATATAATGAGCAATGCTGCAAAAAATTTTAATATTCCAGCAACCAGTTTGAGCGTCCTACGTAATTATTTTGATAGTTTTAACAAAATTATTTTCACAGATCTGTATCTAGCTAAATTTTTAGATATTTCAACAACACCCTTCTTTTCGTGCAGTGAATTTATAATTACGAAATCTCGTTTAAATAAAACTTTCGATAATTATAATCATCTACTTAGGGGGGTTCACTTCTACCAATGCAGATTAGCTTTAATCTCGGTTCAACTTACTTCTCGTCTTCTTCTATTTCTATAGGAATTAAAAAAAGATGAAGATAAATTAAACCGAAAAGATGGAGATAAATTAAACTGAAAATTAATCTGAGTTGGTAGAAATGAATCTTAATGTTACCTTGAGAATCAGGATTGTTATCAACCATTATCTGAATCAGGATTGTTATCGATTTGAAAGAAGCAAACGTCCAAAAAATATACTTCTGAAAAATTTAAACTTTCGTTTTTTAGCGAATTTTCGAAATTTACCTCGATGGTGGCTAATGTCTCGGTACGAGAAGCTCGCAAAGAAAAGAGGCCACAATTTACGGGATACGTGAACGTAAAGATTCCGCGAATTCGTACACGACAAAGAAAACGGAGACGAGCGAGGAACGACTTGTCGATCGTCTTCGACGATTTTACGAGGCGTGTACGACAATTACCTCTAACATCGTTAACCTGCTCCTCCTTCTCGCCGTTTCTCGATTATCCTCATCGTCGACTCTTAGCAATAACGCAAGTTAAAGCGCCCGGTACAATTAATTTAGTCGCTTGATAATATTCCAAACCCGGAAGTCGTATCGTCGCAAGATTTAAAGGAACTTATTACCGGTAAAATTCACGGTTCTTCGATCAATAAGTAAAACTGCGTAGTTAATAAAAACTTTGCTATTTATTTTAGGCACGTATCTTAAATTAAAATACGCTCAATGATTATTAATAATAAAATCAATGTTGAGAAAATAACATAATTAATATAATTATGTTATTTTCTCGACATCGATTTTATTACCTATAATCGCTGAGCGATTTCAATTTTTAATATTAATATAATATACATAATTAATATAATTATGTTAAAATAAAAAAATTAATATAACATTCGACAGATTCTTTAAGCATGGACATGATATAAAAAAAAAGGATCCTCTTCCGGATTTGAATCATTATTAAGCGATTAAATTAATGGTATTAAATTTTGGTGTAAAGAATTAATTATATAGACATTTATTATGAAAAATTGAGAAATTATGAGAGCAGATGGCATCGGTTTTCCGTTTAAGGGTAATCAATTCTGAACTGACTGAGGACTACGTCGGAAGTTTGCCCGTTCCTAGATTATCTAAGGCACTAATTAGGATTATGTGACGATAAATGCGATAATACGGAGACCGGGTTATCTCTCCAACAATCTATTAAACATCTCGCGATGAAACAAGACGGAAATTTGAAAAAAAAATTGAAGCACGTGACCGTTCAGATTTCTACTAAAGCATTTATATACCGAAAAAAGTCTGATAATAATAATCAAGTTGAAATAGTAGTTACTAAAAAGCTTTGGTAAAATAATATTAAGTGAATTAGACAGGCAAGTGTTCAATCACAAATAAGAGAGAAGAAGAATGCCATTTTCAGTCAAAGCGGGTTTTTATTTTTTTAGTAATATTCATATGTAAATATACAAATACGATTCTATCATAAAATGAAATAACAATCTCACAATTAAATTAACCGATCGTCGATTTTAATAACAATGCCTACTAGCATTTTGAAAACCTGTAAAAGAATAACTTACTGTGAAAAATTTTTGGAAAATAATAATTTTAATTAATATTTAATATAACCAAAACCAACTCTGTAAACGTTAATTTCTTATTTACTTTTCTAAATATTATCTACCTAATTTCACCAAACAATTAGATATATTATTATTGTGTTTGCTAAATATTGTATCAATACTAAACAAAACATATTTGGTAGCTATTACCGGACTTTTTTTCAGTATACGCTTGTTGTCATTTTCGCGCTAAGCCTTAAACACAAACTGTGAAAAGCACAGACAATATAATTATAGAAAGAGGGAATAAGAAATTTTTCTCAGAAACCGTGTATAGCTAGAATGCACGATTTCTAATAGGTAGAAATCTTTTATTCTCAGTTGCTATTGCCTGTGCTTCTCATTGTGTTTAAGGCTTTACAGCGCGTTAATCACTTCCGTATATCTTCCCAATAATCCATTAAGCACGTCGCGATAGAACACGATAGACACCCGTGGGGTTGGTAAACGAGGAACAAAGATTTGGAGCAGCGGACTCCGGGGTCTGTTGTTTGAAACTCGATTAACGAGCCCCGGAGTTCGGACGCGGCGGCAACATTTTCTCGGAAGAGAACGCGCGCCTTATCGATCAAGAAGCGGAGCGGAGGGAATTAAGCCTTGATCGGTGGGGAGGAAGGGATTATAGTTTTTGCGGGATGACTCGCCGCACGCCCGATCCTTCCCTCGTTTCGCGAAAGACGATCGTGTGCGCCGTAATTATTAGTTCCGAACCGGCGCGGGAGATTAACGAGATGGATTTTAACGCGACGCGTCGCGCAATCGGCACGGAGTAAAAAAGGAAAAGGAGAGAGAGAGAGAGAGACAGAGACAGAAACGTTCCCTCTCGTTCGCACCGCGAAAAGTAATATAATCGTCGCGTATTATCCACGCTTCGTCGATATTTCGCGCGAGGCGGCGCGTCACGCTCCGAAGCTGGCCGCATAACTAACGAGGACACGTGACTTCGCGCGCCGCTAACTATCGCAACGAACTGAAGTTGGCACGGCCGCCGCTTCGACTCCGATTCTCCGAGATTCTCGCGGCGCTCTCCGAAAAATTCAAGATTCAAAAGAGTCGACGGTTGAAACGCACGTACGATACATACCTCGTAGGATCCATCGGAAGTAACGATTCCTCGGAAGATCGACTACGCAGAACGATCGTCGATTCCTGAGATCCGTCCGACGCTTGCGCCTCCGTCCTTAATCCGTCTTGGCACTGCGGCGAAAAAGCACTCGCGTTTCCTGCTGTACACTCTCCTCCCGCATCTCTTTTTCCTCTACTCGTATATCCCTCCTCTCTCTCTCTCTCGCTCTCGCTCTCTTTCTCTCTCTCTTCCTCTCCCTCTTTCTCTCTCGCTCGCTCCGTCTCGCACTGACACTTTCGTAGAAAGACGCGTGCACAAAGTCAAACACAGGTCAGACGTGTGCGTGTATGTATGGCGCACAGCCGCGAGTGCGACCGGAGTCGGACACCGGGGAGGGCGAGCGAATGTCGCGACCGTACCGCGCAACGTACGACGCTCGACTGCGAGCCGGGTAGTACCGAAGTGGATGACGGGAACGTGTGAACGCCGCTTGC